AACTGTACCAAATCATAATTTCAAAACTTTTAGAATATAACAACAATACAAGCCCAAGGGGATGAATCCAATGCCTTCTGTATTCGTGACTCATGCATTTGTCTAGATTTCTTCTTAAGCGGCATAAGAATGGCGGTGCCTGCCTTTTCTTCTCTGAAATCTACTAATGTGGGGTGGGGTGGGGTGGGGTGATCTGACAAAAATGTCCTCCAAATATCATTATCGGAATAGAAAACCATCCCCATGAGGCAGATTGAATAACTCGCATAAGAGTAGAAGCTTTTAAACGCTCTGGAGAGTAAGATGCAACTGTTGGGACATTTAATTTTGGAAAAATAGAGAAAGGAAGTTAAAAAACAATATTTATGGGTTAGAAAATAAAATTAGATCTGCATTGGGTTTCTTGGTTGGATTTTTGATTTGACCCTGCTAATGCGTTTGTTCTTTGCTGCAGTCTGGAAATGGTAATGCCCCTGGAGCTGGAATGCCATCGAGCTTTTCCGGGATGCCTCCGCCTCTGCCTCCTGGGCCCCCACCACACGGTCAACCTCATCAGTAGCACTCAAATTTGTACATCATTTTGGTTCATTGTTAGGATGAGAAAATGTGGACATCTCTCTTTCTCTTGTTGTGTTTTAATTAAAGTGTAGCTTGATGATAAAGCTTAGATATGTACATTCATTGATTGGAATGGACTTTTTTCGCTGTTCCGTAAGCAATAGAAGTCACATGTAAGATGTTTGAATTTGTAATGGACATCTCTCTCTCTCTCTCTCTCCCTAATGTTCTTTTTGGCCTAAACGGACAGATTCTATGGGATTGACTCGTATAACATTTATGTCTCGTGTACGAACTAGTAAAAGAAGAAAGAAACTATAGGAATTGATTATTGCAAGTGAAAGGTACATGATGGTATTCCTATGAAAACCCCACTAATGAATAGAGCAATGAATAAGTTGTTGATCTTGAAAACTTTGACCATTTGAAAAAAAATAGTACGTAGTTGTGTGATGCACGAGGCAATAATGATAATTGTATAAATCAAAGCACTGAAAGAATATTGATTAGTACAAAAATAGTTTTGAATATTTATATTAATTTTTAACCTATGTGTATTTTACCCATTATAAAATAATTGACATTTTAGACTTATAGTTAGAATTAAGGAATATGCAAATTTAAAAAAATTATCAATAAATAATATTTACAAAAATAATTCTCTCTCTCTTCCCCTACTCATACCCTATGACAATATGTTATTCCGCTTCCTATCTAAGTTATGAAAAAGTTGAAAGTTTGTGGCAACTATTATATACTGACATTTAATTTAAAATGTTGTGTGTATTATTAATATTCTTTCTAATCTAATAATTCACATGTCAGCTCAACACGAGTTGATACATCATTATAATTTATAACAATATATATTATCAATATTTTATTTTTTTATATGCTATAATTTACATGACAGTTTGACAAACAACTCGTTGGATTATCACAATTTAAAACAATATATTTTATAAATATTTTAACTCTTTATAATCTAATAATTTAAATGACAGTACGACAAATGGTCTGTTAATTACTAATTTAGATTATTTATATAAATATATTTTATTATATATATTTATATTTTGTATAAGTAACTTGAGGCTGATTTCTTGTCTTTAAACTATTATTATTAATAAATTTAAGTTAAATTTATATGTGCAATATTAACTAATAATCTATTTTGGAAATAACTATTTTTTGTTTATAAATACAATATGAGTGACAAATCAATAATCTTAAAATGAAGGTAGAGTTAATATTATTATAATTATAATATTTTGAATAATAAATAAAAATGCTATTGAATTTGTAAAAATAAAATGAAATTAATTCTTAATAAGAAAAATGGAAAATAAAAAAAAAATCGACAATGATATGAAAACTAAATAGAAACAGAAAATTGTAGTTAGGAAAATTTCTCATCTTGGAAGTTTATTTAAAGTTAGGCTAGGTGGGTGGTACCGCTCATCGCGGCCAATCTTCCTATAGCATAGGTCTGGAATTTCTTGTATTTTTTTTTTCAAATGTACAAATAATTAGCATTGGATAGATTAATCTATAATCATATCCATTGATTTTATATAGTTTTCAAATCAAATAAAATTTTAGATTAGATAGAAATGAAATAATCCATTTAAATCTTTGAAATTTTAATCACAAACTGTTGATATCACAAAATCAATAATAAATAAAGTATTTGATTGAAATTTTTTAAAACTTTTAATCACTATATTTTGATCAGTTATTAATATCAAATTACTTAAAATAAAAAAAAAAAAAGTTTCACGTCGGATGGTAAAGAAAAAAATAGCAAAAGAAAATAGAAAAAAAGGTGAAACTTATATTTGTCACGGAGTGCGCTAATTGTAGTACGAACTAAAATAAGAATTGTAAAATGCGGAAGCAAACAACCGAAGATTAATAAACTCTTCAGGAAAGCGTCCCACTTCCCCTCAGAGCTCTTTCATTGATAGATCACTCATAAACATAGTTTGGACTTACAAGGACTTGAACTCCCTTCAAATCTAGCCAACACTACTTGATCCTATCAACTAATCCTCCGGCCACGTCCCGTGGACTTATAATACCTACACTTACTCCCTAAGTGTATATACCGTAAAATAGTTTTGATGAAATGTATAAAGAACTAAACGAAAGCAGTACCAGTCCTTGAGTTTGTAAGAACTCTCAGACTGAACTAAATACAATCAAAGATGGAATAGAAGACAAAAATGAAGCTTGAATGGCTTTCTCGTATTTCTCTAAAAAATCCACAGCCGCCATAAGCTTCTTCTAGGGTATTTATATGATCACCTTAGGGTTGAAGTCTTCTACAAGGCATAGAACTTCATTCAAGATTTCCTTCCAAAAATAATAGCATATCTTTGGCAAGGAATCTTTTATTCTCTCTCATTGATCTCCTCTCCAAGCATGTCTCTTTTCTCCCTCTTCTTTATCTCTCCACGCGCAATTTCCTATCATATCAAAACCGTAATAAGATCTACACGAACTTATATAAGGAATATAAATCAATATTACTTAAGGAAATATAATATGTAAAGATCTTCCCTTTTATTCTGTGGTTCCAGGTGCTTGTTCGAACTAATCGAACTAATGCCAAAATAAAATATCTTTCAATCTCCCCCTTTGGCATCTAGTTCGAAAACATCAGACTTGAAAGTCTCCTACAGCAATAAAAACAACAAGCACCAACAGATAAACTCAAGCAAAGATTAGTTCAATACATCACAAGTTCTCCCCCTTAGTTCCTGCAGTCAACAAAACTCATGATTCCAAATCAAATTCGATTCAATCAAAATAAGTAGATATCAAAGTCAGCAAAAACAACTTATAGTAGCAACCAGCAGAAAAGCAAATTACATCAGAACCTCCCTACTGCCCTCAAAACACACAAGGACATAAATGAGGCAAGAACTAACTACTCCAAGCTAACTACTCCTCATCTCCAAGCTTCTCAGTGGCATCATCAGACTCTTCATCATCTTTCTCATTGCTCTTACCAGCAGCAGAGACCTTCTCCCCCTTTTTCGAACTACGGGATGCCGAAGTGCCTGTCCCCGAGTTACGATTCGATCCCTTTACAGCCTGCAGAACTTGTCGAAGATAACCCTGTTGAGCAGCAACCCTCTTGGCCAAATCATCCCATTCTCCAAGTTGTTGAGCCACGAACTCGCCCCAATTTTTAGGAACCAAGGAAGGAGCGAGTTCCTTTGTAACCTTGGAAATCCCCATTTCATTCAGAGTGCGAGCACTTACCGAGAGTGCTTTCCGGGGATTCTCAAGAGAGTCTTGGAAGCGGAGATTAATAGAGAAGTTATGAGCAGACAAGAAGGACCAAATGAGACAAGGGAAGGGAAGGGTTTTGCGAGACTCAATATTGGCTACAAAGGATTGAAGGATATGAAAGAAAAGATCCCCAAAGCTGAAAACTTTCCCAATCATGACCCAATAAATAACCTTGCATTGCAGCTCGGTAAGCAGGGTTTTATTTGAAGTAGGGGTCCAGTTGCCAGCACCAATTTTGTGCAACAAATTAGCAACTAAGCAAAGAGAATTCACAGAAAGGTTGGAACCAGGCCAAATATCCAACTGACCGGAAGTAAGAACTTTGGTCATTTCATCCAAATCAACATCAGAAAGAGAAGAGCTATCAAGATCAGAGGGCAAACCAAGATGGGCATTAAACAAAGCAGGAGACACATCAATCACACGGTTGCGAAGAAAAAGTTTATGAAAGCGAGGGCTATCAGAGTCAAAAACAGCAGGAGTGAGGTTAGCATAGAATTCTTTGACGGCTTGGCCACAAAAGGGCTTAACATCAGACACAGTCTTAGAAAGACCCACTTGCTCAATCAGACGAAGAACACCAAGTTCAACAAACTTACCATCAGTCACAGGATGTTCCGACCAGAACTCATAAGATCCAAAATTGACAAAGCGTTCGTGAGCCGCTTCTGTATAGAACCGATTGGTGAAAGTATTCTCAAGGTCATATGCATCATCTTCAGGTTCAGGAGGAACAAGGGGCTCGTCGATGGCCTTTCCACGACGGCGGGTGGAACGACGAACTGGAACCTTCGAAGGTGGTGATGGCTGGTCAGAATGGACTTCAACGGTGGTAGCCGCCGTATCATCTTTTTTGCCTTCGGTAGTAGTCGTCTTGGTGACCGACTTAGTGGCAGAAGTTGGAACAGCAGATGACTCCCCCTGAGTTGGGACGGCCAGTGATTCAGCAAGTCCAGAAAGTCCTGGAACTCCAGTGGCCAGTGGTGAGATGACAAGATTCTTGCGGACATTGTCAGACTTCGACTGAGAACCAGACGGGGAAGAGGCCAGGGACCCCGATTTAGACGAGGGCGAAGATTCAGGGGTTGGTTCTTTCGTCGGTGGCGAAGGTTCACGAGCAGACCCAGTGGACAAGGAAAGACGCCGGCGCTTGAGTCGCTTCTCTTTCTGCTTCTGGAGTCGTCTCTTGGATTTTTCTTTGCCGCCAGCCATGGGAGAAGAATGAGGATTGAGAGAGGGGAATTTAGGGTTTCAATCGGTGTGGGTGAGCAAAGGAGAGAGAGAGAAAAGAGGGAACCAATAAAATGGAATAAAATAAAAGGAAACGTGGGTTAAGATCAGTTGAGAGACGTTGGATCATAGAAAACCGCAAAAGGTAGGTTCCGAAAATCAAGATGGTAATGGAGGCGGTTTTAGGAGAGAGAGAGAGAAAAATGCAAAGATAATTAGTGAAACTAATCCCTCCAATAATTCAAAATTCAAACATACCATAACTTCCCACATCAATAACGGCTCGCATTATTTTGAAATTTAGGAAGGAAATCAGATTTTATCCAAGAATACGTCCTGCACAAACACTCGGATCACGTTCAAAAAGGAAATCATATGCAAGAATGCCTAAGAATGAAAAGGAATAAAAATCGCACACAAAATGCACTAAAATCATAAGATCTTTTCTTTTCCAACTTAGACAAGAGTGACGGCAACAATCAGAGACCAACTATGAGATTCATATATTCTGAGGAACATAGGGTAAACGGATATATGTATATACACAGAGTAGTGCGAACCACAACTTCCAATATATTTTTTTTCGAAAGAACACATGCGCTATTATTCATAGTGCATTTCACTTAGTAACAATCACTGCAATAGTGAAATTCGACCCCACTACTTTGCACTACAATTTTCAGCAAGGAT